TTTGGCAAGACCTAGGCAAGGTCGACATTGCAGTTCACTTCAGCCGGGACGATAACACCTTTTGGGAAAGCAGGGCAATGTGAAATTCCATGGACACGTCAGCTTTACTCATATCACTACGGGAAAATTCTACTACCGGTCCTTCATCACCTTAAACGAAATAGGGGGAATACATTCCATAAAAATGGCATTTAGATCGACGTAAATCAACTGAGCTGTTCTTCGAAACCCAGCTTCTCTTCAGCTCATGATGCCAATGCCAGGCATTGTGTGATATTCTCCACTATTTGCCCTTAAATAGCCTAAACCGACCAAAGGTGATCTTCCGACGTCCCACCAGCTTATTCTCTGTATACTCTGTACACATTTAAACATAACTTGGAAACACTCTGGAGTAGGCATAATTTGGCCAAATCTCCGGAAAAAAAGTTTGCATAAACCTCAATTACCGTTTGTCAATTTCGCCAATTGGCTGATAGAGACATTCTGCCAGCAGACGGCCAGTAAAGCAGCAAATCATTGCAACGGCAATGATGACTGGAATTGACATCCAGCCGGCTCCGACACAAGCGTATGGAACTCCGAGAATGCCAATTCCCTGAATCAGATTTGTGACATTCCACCCGGCCACCCAGACCGAGCTTGACCGTTCAGCATTCTCGTGGCCCGAATGTGTCAAAGCAGATGGCAACAGTCTGGATGACTCCATGTCAGACTCACCTGCCTCAGCAACGCTCTCACCGGTAGCGTCGCCAAGACCGGTGTCGTCAGGCCGAGGCAAACTGGCCCCCCCTCCCGGGGAGGCGGATACCCTCGTCTCCTCCGCTCTACACCGCCAGCACACGTCCGGACCGCCAAGCCCGTCGGCAGCGAGGTCCGTGATGCTCGGTTGCCAGGCGTCCTGTAGCAGTCCCAGACCGGTCATCTGTTCGTCCCAGGCGTCTTGAATTTCGTGCAGATCGTGTCGCCAAGCGCCGGCCGGCCGACACATCCGATCGGCCTCGGCATCGTTCAACGAAGGCCCCGGCGGTCCGGGCGAATCTCGCAGGCAGGCAATCATGCCGAGCGACGGAGGTCGACGCAGTCGGTTGAGAAGACGAGTCTTGGCCGACATGGGCGGGCCCACACCGCCAGAGGCGAACACAGAAGCCCGACTACCGATCCACGAATCGGCCAAATGGTGGAATGTCGGGCCTACAGCCGAGGCGAACAGTCTACTGACGGGAATTTGGGCCACTTTGGCCCGATAGGAGCCCGGCTGCGTCTGCAAAAGTGCCATCTCGGACCGACCGAAAGGACGCGACCGTTTCACCGACGCCGACAGGCCCAGCTCGTCGGACTCTTGAGCCCGACGAGTCTCGAACGAGCTGTAGGTGGTTTGAGACACAGGCCGAGGGCTTCGCAATCGCGTTTGTGACTTGACCAGTCGCTTCGCCTCCACCGACCGGCCGCCCTCGCAGAAGCTGGGACGACTCGACGTCTCTGCGGTCTGCTTGGAGTGCGGCGCTGGCAGAGCCAACTGCATGGGATTCACACTTGGCGGAAGTGAGGGAGAATAGTGAAGCGGCTCCAACTGATTGAGGGCGTGTCGAAGTCCGCTGTCCAACTCAAGCGTGGGCGACGAGGCCAACAGGCCCGACAATGAGGCCCATTTGCATGAGGCGCCTGAGCCGACTCCAATCATCGGCCAGGCCAAGGAGGCTGTGCCAGCCTGAACTCCAATCGACATCTCTTTGGAAGTGTCATCATGAGCCAAGTCCGTGGCGTCGTTCGGATGTGACGGACTTTCGAGCGTTTTGTCACCAACGTCTGAAGCTGTACTGCCAGTGTCCATCAGCCCAGCCAGAGTGTCGTCGTGTTGGTTGCAGGAGAAGGAGACCTGAGTCGTATCGGGGCTTTGTGTTGCCTCGAATGGTCCAGAAGATAGCTGCATCACCTGGTCCTTTGGCATGACTTGCAACTCAGTCGAGTATGACGAATTTGCTGGACAAATCTGGTCAAAGTGACTGATATTCGATAATATATGCTTCGGATATGCTTCTATTCCTACCTAACACAACTGGCGCATACTGACATCGGAG